ACGTTAATTCTGCTTTCTTCCTTATGATGGTGTGTCTCTTTTAGTCTGTCTGCCTCAGATTTCTGCCTTGCTATCTGATGCTGTTTGTGCATGCGGATCTATAGGTGGTCTCAATTACAATTCTTGGGATTTTTTCCTGTTGTAATTTGACCACAATCTCCTCAGTTAAACTGAGACTGCATCTGTCTGTTCCATTAGTTCAAGATGATGTTAAAAAAATTCCACAGCACATTTAGGACTAGCCAGCATTCATGTCTGAACCAAAAACAGATTGACCAATCATTCATCCCATTGTAATTTTCAGGAACTTGTGCGCAAATGACTTCATGTTTATTTATACAACAAAGACTGTATCTGACAGGCATTGAGAGGTCAGTGTCAGGCACTCCATACAATCACTTTGTGTTATTAAACTGCAAGTCAACTTTATGTAAATCTTCAGCCTAGTGTAGCCACAATCTTTGACAAGGAGTTCCTTAGGCTGTAATGCAGCTATAATTCCTAGTTGTAGGGCTATTTGTTGTTTTCTGTTATCTATAAAACAAGTTTATAACTGTAACTAAAATACTGGAGAGTGTTGACATTGGACAAAGTCATTTGCTATTGTTGAAGTTTATTACTCTGTCTGATTTCATCTTCTATTTAAATTCTTTGACCATTTTCCTTCATTTTCTCTTATCTCTCAATCCCTTGGACAATGTTGACAGGCACTGTTCAAGTGTGACTGGGTTTTTGGGCAAGCCCTCAGTGGAGGTTGGCTAGCTTCTCTTCCAGTTTGATGGGCTCTGAAATGCATGATAAACCCAATGTCTGCGATCTACACACACTGCCGCAGGCAAGGCAGCTGGTGTTTGAAGAGTCGGGTGGATGCATTGTTTGGAGTCTTGTGCACCCTCTCTTTGATACCTCAACTTTGCTTTGATATGTTGTCAATAAAGAGTCTGTGTGTTTGGTTCCTTCCTTAATAAATCTTTTCAATTTTGGTCAGTCACAGACCATGGTCTCCCACGAGTCAGGGACTGTGTTTCACTTCTCATCAGTTGTTTCACGGACATCCTTAAAGTGTTTCTGCTGTCATAACCAAGTCCTAAATACAGTTTTTGCATTAGGAGTCTGGAGGCAGGCATATAAATGATATGTCCTTCCCACTGGAGCTGCCTTTGAGTGGTTAGTGCCTCAATGATGGTAGGCAAGTTGTCACGGGAGAGGATACAGCAGTTGCCACTGGATTTTGAGAATCTCCCAAAGGCAGTGATAGTGGTGCTTCCCCATTGCTCTGAGGTTCCTACTTGAACACATACTGTATATGTAAATAATGAGCACCACTGCTTCATTATAATTTAATTATAAATTAAATTCAGTTGTGCTTGAACCCAATATGCACTTGTTTTCCAACATTCTTCAGAGATCATGGGGCCATGATCCCTGGCCAATATGTCTTTCCTCAAAACTAGCGATACTAATGAATCTCATTAACATCATCATACGGCAGAAATCTTCACGCATGCCAGAGAAAAAAACTGGGATCTTACCTGTATAGTTGAATGTTCAGCCATTCCCATTTGTTCTAGGTGGTTGAGAAAGCTGCTGTCTGGCTGACTGCCATCCTTTCTATTCACCTTATCCCAACATAATAGAACCTTGAATGAAAGTCTGTCTCTTGCAGCACTTCTTTTCATTTTTAAATACTGCCTCAAACCCAGTATCTTCAACCAAGTTTCTCTTTCACTACTCAATGGGCATATTTCCACTCCCATCTGTGAAATACCTTGCAGAATTATTGTGTGAATGGTGCAGTTTATCACTGTGTCATGTTGGCGTTTAGTGTTGTTTGGCTTTTGCAGTACTTTATACCTTGTTTCTGCCCAGTTTTCCAAACACTGTCTCATAGAAATCACTGTTCGAGCATATGTTTTGGTTATGGTGGCTCCTTTTTAACCACATGCACTAATTTTAGTAGAAAATGCCTAAACATAATCGAGGTAAATTTACTTCAGCCTGTTATATCTTGTTAACAGACATTTTCTGTCATTCTGTATCCAAGGAATGAAAACATTCCGTTGATTTGAAAAGCTCTCTCACTGATCATTTTCCCAATAAATATACAGGAAGGTTAAAGTCTGCATGTATTCACCATCTGGAGGCATATCAAGATCACGTCAAACAATCGTGTCTGTTAGTCACTTACTATTTACTAATCGGAAATGTGAATTACAGCATCTAGATTCCAAGCTACCACATGTTGGTATTGGCTAATAGATTGCACAACACTGATTGTTCAATACTGCATCTCTGCACCCTTCCAGTTGTGGCCTTTTATTCATCGCAATTTTAATTGCCCCCTCCACTTGTACCTACGCCCTCAACCACCCAGGCCCCAAATTCTGAGTTTCCTTCCCTAAACTTTTCCTCCTCTCTCTCCTACCTTATAAAGCTTTTTAAAACCTGTGTTTCTGGTCAAACTTCTGTCATCTCCTTAATTACCGTCATATGTTGCTTTATGTCAAATTTTATTTGTTGATTGTTCCTGTGAAAACTTATGACCTTTTGTAACATTGAAGGTGCTATATAAAAGCAAGTGGTTGTTCTGAGGCACTAACCCCTTTTGTGATTCATCGCCATAGGATAATAAAACTGGCTGCTTACAGTGTAGCAAGTCTATTTTCACAGGTTGGTGGTTCTGTTAAATCCATTAGTTCAACCTCCTGGAGTCTCGTAGTTGTGTTCAGAGAGCACTATGTTGCAACAATGCCTGATATTTGAATTAGTTAAAGGTGGAGTGTTTTTCCTGCTCACCCTACTTATTGCTGCAATAAGCAATTTATTAATGACCTCAGTCCATTTTTTTTCAAGCTGTTGTTATGACGTAGCAGTTTAAATACTTTGTGACATCCTGTCCAGAAAACACATTAACAGTGGAATTGGAGATTCCTGGAAATGGTGACTCAATTGCTAGTGGTGGAAACTGTGCATGCACTGTGCCTGAACCAACCGTGTCCACTCACTTGCTCGCTTCTCCTTTCATGCTCGCCCACCCACCATACTGCTATAACACCTCTACTCAATCACACATTTGGATTCAAGTCTCTCCCTTTGCTCGTTAAAATGATAATTGTTCTTTTTACTGATGTTATTGATGAAAGGCTTGTCAGATAGTTTGCAATCACACTGTGATGGCGTGCTGCCTGCCTGTGATGGTCAGCAGGTCATAAAGGATTACATAGCATGAAAGACGTAGGAATGGGCCATTCGGAGCATACCAGAGTTTATGGTCCATTTGAGCTACCTTCAGTTTTTCTTTTATCTAAGTATGTCATTATTCCTTTCTCCCTCAAATGCTAGTCTAGTTTCCCCTTAAGTGAGTCTGTATGATTTGCTTCAGTCACTTCTGTGATTTCAAGTTCTATATTCTTGCCACCTTTGGGTAATGAGGTTTCTTCTGATTCCTGGCATGTGTTGATATTGATAACTTCTAGTTATGCTCTTTGTGTATCCACTCTGTCATATTTTAACTTTAAGGACTTTTATTAGGTCACCCCACAGCCATCTTTTTTACAAGAGACACAGATCTAGCTTCTCCATCTTTTCCTGCTGTGTTATTCCCACATATTCTTGGTGTCACCATTGTAAGTTTTGCTGCCCCCCACCATCTCTATGTTCTGTACGATATATGGTGAGCAGAACTGAACACAGTAGGTGAAATATGTTTTAACTAGGGTTCATTGCAGGTTTGGCATAGCCATCCAATGCTTCAGTTCTATCTTTGCTGAATTAAAGCCTCAAGCTTTTTTTTTAATGGCCCTGGCAATCTACAGTGCATTTTTTTAGTGATTGATGTCTTTATACTCCTAGACTCCTTTGTTCTATTGTTCCTCTACTCCACGTTGACTTGAGCTTCCAAGTAAGGTGACTTCCCAATTTCTCTTACCAAAATATACAAGCTCATATTTACTGGAGCTGATCTGACGAGCAGGCACTGACATGAAATGTTAACTGTTTTTCCGTCCAAATGTTGCCCAAACTTCATGTTCCCACCAGTTTCTGTAATTAAGCAATGTCTTTAATAAACTCAAATTGCTTATTTCAGGTTTGCCAATGCTGGCAAGGCTCAGATTGTGAGTTGGATAAAATGGGAATGAAACCTTCACTGATCCCCTTGTGCCAATATGGGCTAGTGCCTGTAACATGAAAATTGCTGCAAGAGTAGCAGCTTCTAACTCAATACAAAGCATATGGTCCTCTAGCTGTTGTAACATAGCAGTTGTTCAAGCTTTCCCATCAGTCACACCATGATTCTGTAAGTGTCTCATATGATGTTCAAGTAAAAACATGTGATTTGTGTTGTACTTTACTGGGTACCTTGCATACAGTTCTTGTGGTGCAGAGGTAGAATCCCTACCCCTGAACTGGGAGACCTGGCTTCAAGTCCCCACCTGCTCCAGAGGTGTTTAATAACATCGCTAAATAGGTTGATCAGAAAAATAGGTTAAATTTTTTAAAAATTACCTTGCATACAATTCATCACGGTGGCCTTTTCTGTATAGTTAGATACAACAGGAATCAATAGGGCAAATTACCAATTCATGTATTTTTGGTTGAAGTAGGAATGTTGGCCCAGTCACCATGAAAATTTCCTGTATCTTTCTAAGTAGTGTCATGGAATCTTTTATCTGTACCTAAATGGGGAAATACAGTCTCATCTGACAGTATCTCTGACAACGTAACAGTCCTTCAGTCTGGCTAAAGAGTCAGCTTAAACTAGGCCTTGGAGAGAGACCCGAGCCTATGTACTTCTAACAGAGGTATTAGTTTTCCGAATTGAACTGAGACTGACTTTTTTTTTTACATTATTCCCATTGTTGCCTTGAGTTATTTATTTTACAACGTTTGAATTTTTCTAGTTCGACCTACACTCAGGGATTTCAATACTTGTTGAACGTCTTTGAAAAGTATTGGGTTTAGACTTTTCAAAAATGCTGTTTTTGTTTTCTCTCCAACAGCGGATCACCATTCCAAGGCCAGATTGCCCAAATGAAGTGCGCACATTCACGTTTTACCTTTGTAATGTCGGCAGGGATAATCCCCAGTGTAGCTTTGACTGTATTCAGCAGTATCAATCCCGGTAAGTTTCTGGTTCTGCTATTGTGCCTGAGACAGCATTTTATGCCTTATCTCAAATGTATAGAACAGAGCCAGGCGTTTTTCTCAAATAGGCTGTGCCAATGATAACGCTGCACAAACGCGGCCTCCTGCTTCATTTCATCTCACTTTATCAGTATATCCTCTTAATCTTTTCTCCCTCATGTTTATTTAGAGCCATAGAGTCCTACAGGCAGGAAACGGACCCTTTGGCCCAACTCATCCATGCCGACCAGGTTTCCTAAACTGATCTAGTCCCTTTTGCCTCTGTTTGGCCTGTATCCCTCCAAACCTTGCCTGTCCAAATGTCATTTAAATGTTGTAATTGTACCCGTCTCTACCACTTCCCCGGCAGCCTGTTCAATATACGGCCCAGCGTCTGTGTGGAAAATTTGCCCCTTGGGTCCCTTTTTAAATCTTTTCCCTCTTACTTTAAACCTATACCCCAGCCTATGCTATTCATCTTGTCTATAGTCCTCATGATTTTATAAACCTCTGTCATCCATCCAGGGGAGAAAAGTCCCAACCCATCCAGCCTTTCCTTATAACTCAAACCTTCTAGTCTCGATAACATCCTTGCAAATCTTTTTTGCACCCTTTCCAGGTTAATAACATCTTTTCTATAGCAGGCTGACCAGAATTGACGCAGTATTGCAAATGTAGTCTTACTAATGTCTTGTGCAGCCGTAACATGATGTACCAACTCCTGTACTCAATGCTCTGATCACAGAAGCCTAACTCCACCTTCACCACCCTATCTACATGTAATGCCACTTTCAAGGAACTACCTGCATCCTTAAGTCACTGTTCGACAGCACTCCCCAGGGCCCTACCCTTAACTGTGTAAGTGCTGCCCTGGTTTGTCTTAGAAAAATGTAACGCCTCACATTTATCTGAATTAAAATCCATCTGCCATTCCTCGGCTTGCTGACGCAGTTGATCAAGATCCCCTGTTCTCTTAAATAACCTTCTTCAATGTCCACTATGCCATCAAATTTGATGTCATTTGCAAACTTACTAACCGTGTTTCCTATATTCTCATCCAAACTGTGTTTATATAAATGATGAACAACAGGGGACCCAGCACCCTCTGTTTCCTACCGCCAAGCTAATTTTGTATCCAGTTGGCTAGCGCTGCCTGGATCCCATATGATCTAACCTAACTAATCAGTCTACCAGGCGGAACCTCATTGAAGACCTTGTTAAAGTCCATGTAGACAACACCACCTGATCTGTCTTCATTTATCTTCTTGGTCACCTCTTCAAAAAACTCAGTTGAGTCTGTGAGGCACGATTTCCTATGCACAAAGCCATGTTGACTATCCCTTGCCTTCCCATATGCATGTAAATCCTGGCTTTCAGAATGCCCTCCAACAACCTTCCCACCACTGATGTCAGGCTCACCACTGTAAATCCCTGGCTTTCCCTTACAGCCTTTCTTAAATAATGGCTCAACATTAGCCACCCTCCAGTCTTCTAGCACCTCATCCATGGCTGTTAATGATACAAATATCTCTGTTAGGGGCCCCACAATTTCTTCCCTAACTTCCCATAATGTCCTGGGCTACACTTGATCAGGTCCCAGGGCTTTATCTACCTTTATACTTGTTAAGACCTCCAGCACCACCTCTTCTGTAATGTGGATACTTTTCAAGACATCACTGTTTATTTCCCTAGGTTCCATGTCCTTCTCCACCATAAATACTGGCGCAAAATATTCATTTAGGATTTCACCCATCTCCTGTGGTTCCACAAATAGATGGCCTTGTTGGTCTTTAAAGGGTCCTATTCCCTCCCTAGTTACTCTTTTGCCCTTAATATACTTGTAGAATCTCTTTGGATTCTCCTTAAACTTATCTGCCAAAGCAGTGTCAGTCTCCTTTCTGCCCTCCTGATTTCCCTTAAGTGTACCCTTACATCCTCTGTACTCCTCAAGGATTCACTTGATCCCAGCTGCCTGTACCTGACACATGCCTCCTTCTTCTGGCCAGAGCCTCAATATCTGTAGTCATCCAGTGTTCCCTACTCCTTCCAGCCTTGCCCTTCACACTAACAGGAACATGCTGGCCCTGAACTCTCATAATCTTGCTTTTGAAAGCCTCTCGCTTGCCAGACATCCCTTTACCTGCGAACAGCCTTCCCCAACCACCTTTTGAAGGTTCCTGTCTAATACAATCAAAATTGGCCTTGCCCCAGTTTAGAACTTTAACTTGTAGACCAGGTCTATCCTTTTCCATAACTATTTTTAAGCTAATACAATTAACACTAACACACCAATCAGTTGCCCTGCCTTATTTTCCAAGAGGAGGTCAAGTTTTGCCCCTTGTAATGCCTTCTATGTATTGAGTGAGAGCATTTTCTTGAATGCACTTAACAAATTTCTTCTCATCGAAGCTGTTAACACTATAGCTGTCCCAGTCAATGTCAGGAAAGTTAAAATGCCCTACGATTAAACCCTATTATTATTACAGATAGCTGTAATATCTCTACATATTTGCTGCTCAATTTCCTGTTGACTGTTGTCGGACCTATATTATGATCCCATCAAAGTGATCCCCCCTTCTTATTTCTCAGTTCCGCCCATATAACTTCACTGGACGACCCCTCAGGAATATCCTAAATATTGCCGTGATGTTTTCCCGTTTCAAAAACGCCACTCCCCCTCCTCTCTTGCCTCCCCTTCTCTCCTTCCAAAACATCTGTGCCCCAAAACATTGAGCTGCCAGTCTGGTCCTTCCCTCAGCCATGTAGCTGCAATAGCTATGACATTCCAGTCCCATGTTCCCAACTATTGCTTGAGTTCATCTGCCTTACCTGTCAGGCCTCTTAGATTGAAATGAATGCATTTTAATTCATCAGTATTCCCTCATTCCCATGCTTCCCCTTTAAAGTATCAGGGCTATCCACCTCAATCACTCCATGTGATTTCCATTTTTTTTCCACTCTCTGGGTAAAGACCTTTCTCCTGAATTTGGTATTGGATTTATTAGTGGCCACCTTCTGTTTATAGACTCCTGCTGTTGGACTCTCCTACAGTTAGAAACTTTTTCCCATCTACCGTAACAATCCCTGTTCATATTTTCGGTCTGTTTCAAGTCATCCATCAGTCTTCTGCTTTCTAAGGATAAAAGCCTTAGCATGTCCAATGTTTCTGATAGGTATATCCCTTTGTTTTCTTTTTTAATCCACCTCTTGGACATGTTATGACACATGATTGGAGCAGCTGGGTCTTGAACTTAGGCCTTCTGGCCCAGAGGTACAGACACTACCATTGTGCCACAAGAACTCTTATCCCTCAGTCTTGTATCATTGTTTCTGAACCTTCCTTCTCCAGTACTTCACATCCTTTTAGTAATATGGAAGTCAGGAAAGTGTTTATTTCAAATCATTACTAATTCAAATCATTACCCAAATTTGAGAGAGCACATACGTCAGTTGGAACACCTGTAGAATCAGATCTTTAGCATGCTCATATTACATAATCCAAAATGAGTACTCTGGCAAATTGTATCGCACAGTTCTTGTATGACTGTACTGTATGATTCTTTTTGAGCTCACAGTTGACTATGGAAATTCGGGTATATCTTGCTCTACAATCCAGTACAATTGTAACAAACTCAATATACGGTTTCTACTTCTGATTCTACATTTCATGCATACAAGACCCATGAAGCAGTTTTGCAATAACAACATAAAGTAAGGAAGATTATTATTATAATCAGTGACCAGATCAACACCTCCCAGACCATTAGACATTGTTGAATAATCCTTCAACTCCCCATTCGTTCCTTAGTCCAACTCCATGAATTACTCCTGTTCAGCAGAAAGTTGTTTTAACTCATGATATTCTGATCCCACAAATGTGACGCACTGCTATGCTAACACTGTATATAGTACACAAAAGTGTAGTCAAACCAGCTATGCTGCTTTTCAGTTCTGATGAGTAGTGTGACGATATAGATCAGTCACAATTTCATGGCTGTGCTTGCAGACACCAAGGAGGATGTGCATTAGCATTTGTAAATATTACAAATATTACAAATATTTATAGATACCAATTAGTGACACTTTTAATGAATGCATATACGGAGTCACAGAAATAAAATGTAAAACAAAGTGCAGCTTTTATGTAAAAATTTAAAATTTGGCTTAATATTGTGCACATGCACAATAGGCAATAATTGGTGATACGTTAGTCACAAATACCAATTAAACAAACACTTTTAACAATGGCATATTGTGATAATATTTTAGTGATATAAATGAAATGTGGAACAAAGTACAATTTTTCTTTCAAAATTTAATAATTGTCTTAATATTATGCACATGTGTGGAACACTAGGTATCAGCAGTCTGGCATGTTGCAAATGAATCCTTAATTTGGCTAATTATTTGTATTCTAATAAATAGAGTGCCAATTTCTCCAGCTTCTCCATGTAATAATACTTCCCCAGCTATGGAACAATCATAGTGGGTCTCTTCAAAATTATTTCCATGGCATTGAAATCATTCCTCAAGTAATACTTTGAAAACTTGACACATTACTGTAATCACTGATCAATGATTTACAAAGGTTTAGCTTTATCATTATTTCCATACCTTACTAATCCCAGCATCCCACAATCTGTCTTTTATACTGTTTTATCAATTTGTGCCTTGCACTTTTTGAAACTTCTATTTGAGTACCAAGTCTGTCTACTCCTTGTAAAGACATACCTTTTCACGCATTTCTTCCTTGCTTAATCTTTCTCCCAAATCCATTGAATTATATTTCATAAAATTAAGCTTCGCCCGACATTGGCTAAACCTAGTTATTCTTTTCTCTTGAAATTGCCTGAAATTCTCTTCATAGCTAAATTAGTTCTGCTTTTTTTTTTTGTTTTTACCCAAGTTCAGATCATTTATTAACGTTGACCTCTTGAAAGCTGCTGTTGAAATTCCACTGGTCTAAAAACATCTGTTAATCACTGCTCTCTGTTTTCT